CTGAAAGCGTCGATCGGAATAAAGAAGTGAAATTCTTTCTTACAAAACTTGCTCTACATATTGCTGTGTTTTCTAATAGAAGGTAAAGGCATATTAAGTTAAAAACACTGTCTTTTGAATCGTGATCGCATCAGAAATTAGGAGATCCGCAGGAGAATCAAAGTGACCGACATAAAGGTAGCACTTAAGGGACTCTAACTGTCGCCTCAACTGCCTCAACGCCTCGAGAAAACACGTCACAACAAATTAATATGCGAGAAGGGTAGGCTGACATTTTAACAATTGTAACAAAATTTGATGTCGTCAGTCCACCTAATAAAGGTAGCAGGAAGGCGCTGGATGCAGGCCGCTACCAACCGGTCAACATAAATAAATATCCTTGGACATTTTACACTGCGCCGCTAGCCCCAAACTAAGCAAAGCTTGTACTATGGGTACTAGACAACGGATATAAACATACTTAAATACTTTTTTTTTGTAAATACATACATATTATACATAGAAATCACCCAGACCCGTCACAGAAATTAAAATTCATCATTTCAATTTCTGCCCGGCCGGGAATCGAACCCGGGACCTCTCGGTATAGTAGTCCGTTCTGAACCACTACACTAAACTACACCAACATGGAAGTCAGGGGGGAGGCCTATGTTCAGCAGTGGACGTCCTATGGCTGAAATGCTGATATGAAAAAATTGATCAATGGTTGCGTTAACTACGGATGAAAAAACCGGGTCTAAGAGTAATATAAATCATAAATGTAACAAGAGCTATTTTATAATAATTTTGATAATAATTAGCAAAACGTTTGTACATTTCTGGCAGAGAATTAACCACTTAGTTATTGTTTACTGTAATGGTAACTGTATGAATAGAGGCTCGACGTGGTTATATTTACATTATAAGGCTGTATCTACACTATTGGTGCACTCGCTTGGAGACACGAAGGTCGTGCTCAACGATGCGCATCACTGCACATAGTACGAGTATGTTGTAGGTGAAAGAAAAACTGTAAAACTATTTTAGTAACTAAATGTTCCTTATCTTCGAAATGAACCTATGTTCTTCTAATTAATTTCGTTGCGGGTCCAATGACAGTTTAACTTTACTCCGAAAAAAACGTAGTTACACATAATTTCGGTAGAAGTTATAGCGAAAACTTACAATATGAAAACTGACCTGAACTGACAACTGACTGAATTCAATATCATTGGTATTTTTGCTCGGATATTAAAAGTCAAGTTTTTGAATTACATTATTACCTTTCTTTCACGCCTTTAGGCGAGTGAGCTTTACTTGTGTGTGTACGTGTATATGCGCGTAACGATAGTGTAATGTCTATCAAAACTTTTGAAAAAAGAACAGTAGCGAGCCTCCACACATGTAAAGCTCACTCGCCTTCGTGAGTTGCAAGAACTATACATTGTACCATAGCACCACAGTGTGGACGTGCCCTAGCTTTCCCGCCCACACACATAAATTTACATCTTGACGGCTTGTAAATTGCCACTTATCCCTAATAACGTATTGTTAGCATAATGTTTTATTTTTACTTTTCTGTAACACTATAATTTGGTTTATTTATGGTGCAAATGACGTCAGAAGTGATGATAGATGTTCGTAAAGCAAGTTCATTAGATTATTTAAATTTATTACGCGCTTTTGTTAATAAATCGAAGTAGATTGAGATACTATTTGCAATTGTTTTCTTGTATGTAAACTCTATCCTGCCCCCAATTGTCACGTTTACGTACGATATGATTTTATACAATGTTGCCAAACATAATTTAGCAACGTTGGCAGTTATGCCGTTGAGGAATCGGTATAAAATGATAATCCAGGCTCAATGTGAGAGGAAAACGCAATACATTGGAGCAACTTACAGGAATTATAAAAAAACCACAAAATTCCAATCCAAAATTCCCACGAATCACCATCCTGAAGGAACTCAGTAGCATGGGAACATCAGGCCTCCCCAACCCGTCTTGCAAAAGTAGTAAACCAAATCCTCCATTTGAATCTGGTAAAATTATAGAGGGTAGTGCTCCTGCAGTGGAGACTAAATGACCTGATGTTGATGTCAATGCTTCACTTTGACAGCATACGCTATCCATTAGTGCGGTGCGTGTCAGTGGATTATTTTATGTTATGTATGGGCCACACGCTTTGATTTAGTTGACCATTGATTTATGACTCCCACCACTTTATTATAACTGACAGCTTCTTTCAGGGACGCCTTTTATAGAGTAATACATTATTATTCTGTGGTAATACTAATACCAAAGAATATTAATAAGTCTTAATACCAAAGAAGAATAATAATAGCCTATGTCACGATATTTTTTTCTTGGTCACATGTAACTCTTCATTTGTAACTTTTTTTAATTCATAACGTTTATTATTGTAAAGTTTCATCTAATAAATTATTAATCTTTATTTGTATTGAATCAGATAACTTAATTACTAGGAAGATAGAATGATCATTGGACATTTAGCTTTTTTTATGTTTATTAGGCTACAAATTATACCATACATTTTAAAGCCCCATTTTCCTGAAGTCCCTGAATAAAATAGAATAGAATATAGCTGATAGCCTATTATTCAATTTTATTACAAAAAGGAATTGAAGATACGGTAAACAGAAAAACGACTGAAAAGGAGAATGAAAAACCAGTTCATTCAATTTACTAAAGCCATTTAAACTTCGTTGTATTATTTAGCTAGGTTTAAAAAAGCACTGAAGTCTTTCAGCGCCGACTATAGTTCTAAAAATAGTTGTGAATCGATAATTTAGCCCCGAAACGAAATTGTAATTAAAAGCTCTTGTGCAGACACGTGGTGAGAGCTTCCGAAGCGGCGGAAAGTCTGGAAATTAGGCAGAGTGCTCCCGGAGTGAGGGTAGGGTTACCACTAGTTTGGGGTGTTCGAGACTTCTGGATATGTCAAAGGTTCAATATTTCGTTGTTTTCTGCAATCGCAGGCTTTACTGCTGTCACTGTAAATAGTGCACGGAATATGAAAGAAGTAGGTACCTAGGTATAATATTTTGATTTTTGTTTACCTACATAATTGCTAATTCGAAGGAACAATTTTTTAAGACAATTAATTATACCTAAATTGACACCGTTTCGAAACAGCATCGGTCAGCACATGGTTTCCAAGAGACATACATGTATAAAAGAAAGGACGCAAACGTTTTACGCTACTGATACTATTGTAATTTGTTTTTGGACAGTAAACGGGTTAACTCTAGTGATCCACCACCAAAGCACAGCTTTTATGCTTGGTTTCTTCATATCAAGTTCATACATAAGCAGAAGATGAGCACGTTTAGGCTAAAAATCTCATTTCAACCGGGCATTAACTAACAATCGTCTGAGTTATTCAAATGCTTGTCAAAATGGTTAAATCCATTTAACAATAAAAAGATGGTGTCCCTACTCGAAGACATTTTCCCAATTCCGTCTGCGAAGAGTGAAGGCGCTTGATGTACTAACTTGATTGTGTGAAATTCGAGTTTCGGTCCCTCTTATTATTTTGAGTGAATTGAAAGCTTTTGACGGTTATTTTGTATGTTTATGCCTAAATTATTTTAAGATGTAGGCATACTGCTCGTGGATTTCGGTTTTTGCTTGTTCTGTTGCTATTTATTCATTAATATCATCAGTTGTGGTACCTAACTTGAGATTATGGGCTCTAGGTGCAATGAATGTTTGTATCTCACCTCTATCTATATTTTTTGTGATAAAAGTTCGTAAGTATGCGATAAATCTTTCTTCCATATTCGTCTCTAACGTTTAATATTCGTTTAATATTACCAAATTCATCAGAATTGGTTTAGCTGAATAGCACGTTTAGTTTTCGACACGAACTTTATACTATACCTACTGTAACGTTGTAGGTACGCTACAGTAAAATAGAATAATCATATTATTTTAGTACCATACCTTGCTTTTTTACTGCGATTATGGACTTTACTCGACTAATTATGAAATTTTAGTGTTGTTTTAGGATTCAACGGGTTACGGTTATAATCTGTTGACCCAAAAACGAATAACTTTGTTACATGACTAGTACAAACATCAGGTATGTTTTTACCTAAATTATATTTACCTACCATTATTTTTAATACCTCATGTTCCTCCGCACCTAGTTCATAACTAAGTAAAGCTTTGACGTACTTATAAGCGCTTATAAAAGCTTAATTTGAAAAACTTTTGTGACTTTTATGGGTATGAATATACATTACGTAGGTACTCAAACTTATGAATACTTTTTTGTAAACAGATGTTTACAAAAAAGTTCAGATGAACCCAATAATTTAAATTAAAGACATAAAATAGTTGATGATTTTATACTTGAAAGGATTTGGATCTCGAAAATTTTGTTTCTACAGACGAATTCGCACAAAATTCATTTACCACTTAACAAAGCTCATTCAAATGACGAATTCATGCGAAATCTTCAGCTTCAGCAGTGTAATGCGAAAAGTACACAGTGTATTATATTCATGGATGTGTATTGTGAGTCACACAAAGGCCTTGTTAGGGTGCTCGACTGCAACCTTGTTATCTCGTGGACCAGTGGAGTGCGAACATGACATTGTCTCTCAAAAGTCAGGGTACAGCACTTCAAGAATAGCTTTACTTTAGCTAGTAAGCGGGAATATCGATGACAATATGAAGTTAACAATAAGGTGAATTTTCAACCAATACAAAATAACAAAACAATCATAATCAAACCAAAATGTAGCTAAGGGTAGGTTAGATAAATAAAAAGATGGCGTGCTTGGAAAGCAGTGGGATAATTAAAACACGCTTATATTATGGTGAAAGCCGCAACTACGCTACGTTCTTTCTTATGTTTCTTACTAAAGTGCCTAAGCGTGGGTGACCCTGCCTAAAAATCTGGTTCGCCCTCCCTAAATCAAAATGTCTCCTACTGGCAAAAAAACTAGATGAAATAAAAACAGATAGGTATTTTGAAAAGAAAAAACTCACCATCTCTATCGTAATGGCTCCACACCTCCATGAACTGGTTAGCAGACAGTTTCTTCAGCTCCCTGGAGTCAGGGTCTCGGAACTGCCTCATGAAGTTGGTAGCTCTTTCGATGTTCAGCCGTTTGGCCGACGAATTCGAATCGAAACTCATTTTGAACGATTTATAATCGAATAAATAACAGATGAGTCGATTTGCGAATCGAAACTAACAATATTTGAGGAAATCTGAGTGAGTAAATTTGTAAATATGAAAATAAATACTGATCTATTTCAATTTGTAAATACTATGTTTTGGCTTTAATTATTGTCAAATGTATTCAATAATCTCTATTTAATCTTTACTTTACAAGCGTACATTTAATTTGAGTGATTTAAATAATCTTCTGGGTTCTCATCTCATCTGAAACAAAAAGAATGAAGAATTAGTATTTTGTTCTTATGTTTTATTCTTGATACTCCTTCGGTTTTTCCCTAAGGCGGCGTGAATAATTTAACGAGGGAAAATTTTCTTTTACATTTACAAAACGCTCCTTTATTTTTTCAATGAGCGTACCATTATTTTAGGCACAATTTGGGCTTAAGCGGGTGAAAGTGTGTACGGGACAGGTAAAACAATATACGAATAAAATATAAAATGATTAACAAAGACTAAATGCTTTAAATTGTAATGTCCTTGAATAATTATCACCTTGGAAAAATAAAATATAAAAAGTTGATCTTGACTCAGTGTTTGTTTAACTAAATATGGTCATTTACATACACTGTATGTTGTACAGTATTAGACGTAGTTCATAGTTAACTGCGTTCCTATTAAAGTCGGTTTAAAGTGTGATATAAGTGAGAGAAAAGACAACATTAATAACTGGGTACTACTTATAGTTATCAAATTGCCAAAACAAACTAAACTTACAGAGTAAAGACCTAAAGTAGGTAAGTACCTACCTAGTGACTTGAAAAAAAGGGGTATCTTGCATTGTTTCGTTCTCTCGTGAGGCCCATTGGCTTAAATGATGATGATGATGACCAAGCCCAAGATGCCAAATATAAGGCACTATAAGGCAAGGACATTACTGTAACTTATCCATCCGACGTGACGGGCTAACGGGGCTAAGAAATAAGTCGCAAACTAGCACGCAGTTCGCAGAACCAACTATATTTGAAATGTTTGTCACGGTGTTGCTGGACTGTTCCAAACTTGGCACTATTCATTTGGGAAATCATTGTAATTTTTCTTTAACATTAGTGTTTTAAATGCTTTTTTGGGATTGCTTCACGTCAACCTGTTGTTGAATTAGATTTTCTTCCAAGGCGTGTCGAATAGCTTGATCTTTTGATATTATTCTTGCAATACTTTGCGTTTATGTTTTGAGGATTCATATTGCTTGTTCTAAGCCGTCGTTGTTAATTACTCTCTCATTAGCCGCGTGGAATAAGTTTCAGAAACCGAAATATCTTCTTAAATCTTCTACCTAATGGCGCTTATTTAACGTCAAACAACGCAAAGCTTAGGCTTATCTTGGTCTCTACCAGCACTTCGAGAAAAACATTTAATGAGAAGAACAGGTCAAATCAAGTTAGGTAGCTGCCAGCTATATTTAAGTCATCATCATCATCATTTCAGCCATAGGACGTTCACTGCTGAACATAGGCCTCCCCCAATGACTTCCACATCGCACGGTTGGTAGCGGCCTGCAACCAGCATATTTAAGTAAGAAGCTAATAATAACCGGTCATTATGGGAATCACAAAGAATGATGATAATGAATAATCAGGAAAGTATTTTTGTCAAGTATTTTTAAAAAAGCCGACTCTCTGGCGTGAGAATACATAAATATTGACCTTCCATCAACACTTCGTGACAAAAAGCCTACCGATGCGGGAAGAGCCCTCGCCTCGTGTCTGTTACATTTATTCAAAAGGATATTTTCGCCTTACGTAAAGCTTGTGTTACTTGGTAAACGCCCGGATACTCAAGGAAAAAGGTTGCTAAGTATATTATTTACTGTTTTTGGAATTTAACGAAAGTATTCAGAAACAGCGTGATACAGGAATCGCTTTGTAATAGAAAAAAAAAACAGATTAAGGTCGTACGAATAAGGAATGGAACCATTTTTCGATAAAATAAAGTATTTTACTTTTCGACCTTATTTTTCACGTACATTTTAGTAGGCTATGGCATGCGTGAAATTGTTTGTATTAATTTGTAATATTTTTAGTGGTTTTCTATACAAAGTACAACTAAAAATAATTAATGTATTTTTTTCTCTCTTTTTAATTAAGCTAGCTATGGATTTTCATCCAAACTTCACCGTTACGCTCCTAGAGAGGTCATTTTCAGTCTTTTTTATATTTTACAGACCAAACCAGGCATATTCGTGGGCTAAACTTAGTGTTGAAATAAACAAAGGAAGAAAACCTACAGCTCCTTCAGGTATAGCAATCAATCTTCAGTTGTTATTAGTCTAAGTTAATTTACAATGTTCCCAGGTGGTCTGGGAATGGCACGGCACAACTTTCTCAGTAATTTCTAAGATGAGTTTGAAAGAATACCTGAGATAGCCATTACTTACCGGGAAGTTTTGCTACGTGTTGAATTTATTTTTGGAATGGAAATTTTCTTTAAGTAATGCCATCTTTAGTAATATAACTCGCTTTATTATGTACCTAATCGAGGAGCTATTTAACAGATGGGTCACTTTCGTTCGTTGGTTCAGCCAAGTGACGTCCACTGCGGGACAAAGGCCTCTCCCAAAGATTTTCACAACGTAGGTAGGTGCATAAAGGTAAATAAACATTAGGGAATCTAATCCCCTTTTTACCATCAATCCCTAATTTTTAAGTGACCCCTATGGTAATACATAACAGGCATTTTGTTCTCATTAGGGGGTCACTTAAAAATTAGGGATTGATAATGTAAACGGGCTTAAGGCACCAACTAACTTTAACTTTAACAAACGTCACAAATCTCTCAAACTCCATACAAAAAACACCGGTTATCGTTAAAGTTACCGTTAAAGTTGGGTAGTGCAACTCAGTCTATAGGCTTTATAAATATCCTTGGACATTTTACACTGCGCTTCTAGTCCCAAACTAAGCAAAGCTTGTACTATGGGTACTAGACAACGGATATAAACATACTTAAATACTTTTTTTTTTTGTAAATACATACTTATTATACATAGAAAACACCCAGTCCAATACAAACAAATATGTTCATGCACACAAATGTTTGTGTACGGGAATCGAACCCGCTACCTTCGGAATAGTAATCAGTTTCGAACCACTACACCAAACGGCCGACAAACTTTTTTTAAACACATTTCTAGTCTGTTTTCTGTACCAGTGAAATTGTGTGAAAGTGAAAAATAAAGCTGAATATTACAGAAATTGGCATAGCCAAGAGCTTACATACTTTTACAATGTCATAAAGAAACCAAAATTTTCTCCAGTTGTTTTTAGGGCTTGTTCGTCCCCGAATTTTATTACGATAGAGTCTATCACAACCCCGTGACTTTCAAACTGGGATTTCTTAGAGAAAGTCACAGAAGAAATTTACATAAAAAGTTCGCTCTTAAAAATCTTGTAAGTCAAAGGGCACGGAAAACATAGAAGTAAGTCTAGAATAAAAGCGTTCTGAATAATATAAATTCTAATGATAAACGAACGGTGAAGGGATCGGAATGGCTGACTCGTGATCTGGGGAACGCGGGTTCGGTCCCCGCCGCCGCTCGATTATTGTGGTGTGCCCACTTGTGACACAAGCATATTTACCTTAGTACGAGGGGCTAACGGGACTATTAGTAATTTGTGTAATAACAAATTTACTTACTAATCAATGTTTATTAAAAAAAAGTAAGACAGTGAAGTTTGCTGGAATTAATCTTCTAATGTACTTAAATACCTACTTACTTACTGGTGATTCTATGCGTTAGAAAGAGAGTTATGCTTTAACTAGTATTTGCCCGTATTTGAGCTTACCTGTTGGAGCAATCCCAAAATCATTCAGGACTTTGATTTTAATGCCTGTTGCGAATTCTTTTTTTTTCTTGGGTCACCTAATCACCTTAACTTTAACTGTAACATTTACTGTAATCGGTATTCTAGTATGTAGTTTGGCAGACTTTACACGTTTCCTAAAGTTAAAGATAGTGCAACCCATTAACTTTATTTATGTTTATAGCACGTGAAGGGCACGTGAATATCCATAATAATACGAAATTTCTTCCAAAAGTTATAGACGATTTTATACCCCTTAAGGGCATGTTTATGAATATGTTTGCGAACGAAGAATCTTCTACGGTTTTTCGTTATTCCATAAGAGCCATTTTGGCATAATTTATTGAGCCCTTGTACCCTGAAACTTCACGAAGACTCGTTAGGCTGAAATATATTTGGCCCGTGACTTCCTTCATAATTTAAGTGAGAAAAAGTGGGTATTAAATGTAGGTTTAACTGTTTTTATTAAGTGAAAAACTAGAGAATTTTAAGAGAGTGATTGAAATACATAAGTATCATTATTTTAAATATCTACCGATTACCTTCGATTTAAGCTTGAGTTTGATACATCATCATCATTATCATTTCAGCCATAGGACTTCTGCTAAACATAGACCTCTCTCAAGGCTTTCCATGTTGATCGATTGGTAGCGGCATCATGTTTTGTGTTTAGGGACAATTTTACCGGTTTCCTAGATAAGTAATAGTCTGACATTGTAACGCTATCTTACAAATAAAAATGACTTCGCCGATTAGGTTGCTATGTGAATTCATCCGAAATCTGCAAAATTACGAGATGTACCTAGTTAATCTGGCAGATAAGTTACTAATAGACTATCAGGGACTTTATAGCTTTACGTCAGAAGGTTTGTAATTAGGGTTTCTGCTCGAGCTTTCTTGAACTCGAGAAAACTCGAGAAATTTGGCTTCATTCGAGACGAGAAAAAAAATTACCGGAGCTCGAGAATTCTCGAGTTTCGAATTTGAAGCTTTATTATTCTTGAAAGTGTATTTTCTTAGACAAAAGTAGGTTTTTAATTATTTAATAGGTTAACGTTACTTTTAGACTGGTCTAGTCATTCCTTTTTTACCCGATTGCGTGACGCAAAGGAGTGATAATATGTTTAGCAGCCTATGTATGTATGTTTTTTGAAGCACTATAGAGACCAAACTACTTTGTGATCACCGTCCATAACGCCCCCTGTTGCGCGCCTTCTTGACTGGTAGCCACAATATGGTCCCGGTCAAGAGGGCGCGCAATCCGCAATCTTCGTGTTGGTTTCCGCTGAAAACCAGCTTCTCGACATGGCGCTTGTTATGTCGCGAATATAGCTGAGCGGACGCCTCTTCAGCATAGCTTGTAGTTTAATGTTATATGTACTGTATTTTTAT